AAGCAAAACACTAGCTAAAAGAAGCAAAACACTAGCTAAAAGAAGCAGAACACTAGCAAAAAGAATCAGAACACTAGCTAAAAGAAGCAGAACACTAGCTAAAAGAAGCAGAACACTAGCTAAAAGAAGCATAATGCTAGCTAAAAGAAGCAGAACATTAGATAAAAAGCAAAACACTAGCTAAAAGAAGCAGAATACTAAAAGAAACAGAACACTAGCTAAAAACTAACAGAACCGAAGAGAAGCAGCATTGTTGGATTCCTAGATGGATGTTAATATATAATAAATATATATAGTTAATATCTAACATATACAGTTAAGATCTAATTAATATACATAGTTAATATCTAATATATACAGTTAAGATCTAATTAATATATATAGTTAATATCTAATATGTACAGTTAAGATCTAATTTATATATATAGTTAATATCTAATATAGTTAATATCTAATATATACAGTTAATATATAATAAATATATATAGTTAATATCTAATATATACAGTTAAGATCTAATTAATATATATAGTTAATATCTAATGTATACAGTTAAGATCTAATTAATATATATAGTTAATATCTAATATATACAGTTAATATATAATAAATATATATAGTTAATATCTAATATATAAATAAAGTTTGAATGCAAATGTTAAAGTGTTTAATTCTGAGTTGAGATTGTCAGAAAATGTGTCAGTGATCCTCCGAACTGAGTTTCTGTTCTTGTTAATTGATCCATCCAGCGGGTACAGATAACGGATGAAAGGATCACTCAAAGCTGCGCATGCGCAGGGACGTTGGCTCGCCGACCTCTGGCCCCGCCCCCTGGAGGCGGACGTGTTGTGATGGTCCTGGAGCTCCAGATCTTCAGACAGAACAGCTTCATCCTGCGGGTCCAACAGGATAGGACTCCCCTCACACGGTAAGGACGCGTGGGGGCCGCCCCCCCGATGGTTCCGACCGGTTCTGTTCGGCAGACTGGACCTGGTTCGGTTTGTTACAGCTGACACTTTCAGTGAAAAGTTTTATCTTGAGTGGAAAAACTGATTTAGAACTTCTGTGATTTAATTCCTGTTAAATTACCCGTCCGAACCGTCCCCGCGGAGCGACTCGTCTGCCGAACCTCATAGGACCAATCGACCCAAACGAAACGAACCTTGTTGTCTCACCTGAGCGTCAGGTTCTGTTCTCAGGTGCGAACAAACTTAAACTCTAAGAAATGTCCACGGAGTCTGGTGTGATGGCAGAGCTGCAGTTTGAGCCGTTAAACAGAACAGTTGTGTCCAGATCAGGTCAGCACGGACTTTACACCCGCTTTCTTACTTTTATTGACCTTTCTAATCTGAACATGTCAATTTAACCTGAACACATCTGAAGACACATTTTGCTGTAAAAACATCAGGTGTCAATTATTGCAATTTGGAAAAATTTGAAAAATTCACAATTTAAAGTAAAAAAAACATTCAAAACTGTTTAATCATCCTAGATAAAGAAAAACAAGCATTTATGCATAAACAAATGTAAATAAAATATGTTTATAAAAACAAGCAAATGACTAGATAAAAGAAGGACCAATTAGCTAAAACCCAAAAGTAGCATAAAGCTACTAAAAGAACCAAAAAGCTAGCTAATATTAACAAAAGGGTAACTAAAAGTAGCAGCCAATCAGTAAAATTTGTAAAATGTTTACTCAAAGCAGCAAAACATTCCCTAAAATCTAAAAGTTGCAAAAGGCGCAAACTAAACCCTAAAAAAAGCTAAACCTAGCTAAAAGCTTAAAGTAGCAAATAGTTAGCTAAAAGTAGCAAAGGGTGAGCTAAAGCGCAAGAACAGTAGGACTAAAATCTAATTTTAGCTCATTGCAAGTTAAAAACAAAAAGTTGCAGAATGGTAGCTAAAAGCTAAAGGTAGCTAAACAATACCTAAAACTAGTAGCAAAGGACTAGCTAAAGACAAAAGTTAGCAGAATGGTAGCTAAATGATAAAAGTAGTAGAATGGTACAAAAATGCTGGCTAAACGTTAGAATTAGCTAATTGCAAGTTAAACCTAAAGTAGCAAAATGATAGCTGAACGCTAAAACTAGCTTAAAGTAGCAAAGCAGTAGCTACACGCTACTAAGCTAGCAAATGTCTAGCCAAAGAGAAAAGGTAGCAGAATGGTAGCTAAATGTAGCATATGGAGAGAGAACCAGTTGCTGAAGCAGATTTTAAAGACTTTTTTTTTTTAACTGAAGAGATATTTCTGTAAGTTTTTGGGAAATATATTTATAAATAAAGTAAAATTTAATGAAAAGTATAAAAGTTACAAAAGCCAGTCAAAGCAGAACGAGCTGACAGAAGAAATGATTTTAATCTACTGTATGAAACATGAACGTTGCAGTATTCATTACGCTGACTTGCTCCTGCTCTGATTGGAAACGGATGAGCAGAACCTCCACCCTGGAATCTGAATGGACTAGTTTTTAATCGCACGCCTCGTTGCAGAAGAATTTCATCTTTCTCAACTTTTCTCAGGATTGCGTTTTACTGGAATGTTTCTCGTTGGACTTCTCAGTACCTGAAGTCCAATAAGGAGTGTGTTTATTTCTTATTTTGTCCTGAGGCTCGGTGCGGCGCCGCCTCCTCTGCCGCCAGATGTTTGTCTGGTCCTGCCCAGGGAGGCTCCATCAGACTTGTTTATTTTTCTTCCACAGCTGTGAAGTGAGCTGTCAGACACTGTGAGCAGAGAGGTCTTCTTCTTCTTTCTCTAGAACATCTTTGCAGTTTGTCTTATGATAAAATTTATTTTTCATGTTTCAGTCGAGATGTTTCCCAATCCCTCCGTCCTGCGTGTTTCAGATGTTTCCCAACATCTCTATCATCTGTAACATTCCCTCAGTTTGTCATCGGGTTCTGCTGAGGCTTTTGAAATTGCTCATGGGCGTGTTGAAGCTGAGAGACGTTTAGGAACTCGCAGAGCGGTGCGTCGTGATGAGCAGCAAACATCTTCCTGATGTAGCTGCAGGTTTCACTCTGTCTACGGACTTTAATGGGTTTTATTTTGTTATCAGCTTTAGTGCCATTCTGCCACCTTTAGCCACTATTCTGCCACTTTTAGCCACTATTCTGCCACCTTTAGCCACTGTTCTGCCACTTTTAGCCACTGTTCTGCCACTTTTAGCCACTATTCTGCCACCTTTAGCCACTGTTCTGCCACTTTTAGCCACTATTCTGCCACCTTTAGCCACTGTTCTGCCACTTTTAGCCACTATTCTGCCACCTTTAGCCACTGTTCTGCCACTTTTAGCCACTGTTCTGTCACCTATAGCTACTGTTCTGTCACCTATAGCTACTGTTCTGTCACCTATAGTTACTGTTCTGTCACCTATAGTTACTGTTCTGTCATCTATAGTTACTGTTCTGTCATCTATAGTTACTGTTCTGTCACCTATAGTTACTGTTCTGTCACCTTTACCTACTGTTCTGTCATCTATAGTTACTGTTCTGTCACCTATAGCTACTGTTCTGTCACCTATAGCTACTGTTCTGTCACCTATAGTTACTGTTCTGCTACCTATAGCTACTGTTCTGTCACCTATAGCTACTGTTCTGTCACCTATAGTTACTGTTTTGTCACCTTTACCTACTGTTCTGTCACCTATAGCTACTGTTCTGTCACCTATAGCTACTGTTCTGTCACCTATAGTTACTGTTCTGTCACCTATAGTTACTGTTCGGTCACCTATAGCTACTGTTCTGTCACCTATAGTTACTGTTCTGTCACCTCTAGTTACTGTTCTGTCACCTCTAGTTACTGTTCTGTCACCTATAGTTACTGTTCTGTCACCTATAG